GGTGGTGAACATGATGTAATCTATGCAGAAATAGAAGTACAATGATGTACACCTGAAATTTTTACGTCATAAACCAATGTTACTGCAATAAACAAAAAAAAAAAAAAAGAAAGAAAGAAATCCAGAGCATCGTATTTTGGGTAGATATTTCCCTCTAGAAAGCACTGCCAAAAACTGTGCCACAGCCAAACAAGCTGCTGAGCAAGCTGACCTGGATGGAGCCTTTGCTTGGCTGGGTCGATGACGAGCCTCTACATGTGCTTTGGCTGCAGGATAGCGCCATGTTTTCTGCTGCTCACAAGGCCTATTCTGGAGGAAAGGGAAGAGGCTCCTGGCCACTGAAAGAGGGATGGGTACAGATCCTTTGAAAGAGGCCTTTTGCTAAAGGCCTGTGCCCTGGCCTTGACAGCCAGCTCAGACCGTGATTTTGCAAATAAGAGAATTGTTAGCTTGAGATATTCCACACCTCCTCAGACTGGAAGGAAGTCTCCCCACCCTGGAAGGGAGGGGGAGTTGTTACTGGGACAACACCTAAAAGCTTAGGGAAATCAGAATGCCAACATTCTTGTTCTCTGATCGTTGACTGGAGGATTGCTCACACCAGGAAAAAACCCACAGTAGTCCAGGCCCTGAGGCATGCCTGGTGAAGTCCTGGTAGAGGAGGGGGGCCCAAGAAGGAAGTTCCTTCTGGCACCTGCTGTGCCTTGCTCCTTACTCATGAATGGCAGAGCCCCTGCAGGGGATGAGGATACAGAGGCCAGAAAGACTGGCCGAAGATGCGTTGGTCTTCTGCAAACAGGATGGAAACCAGCTAGAAGAGAGCACCTTTGTGTCTTAACTATGGTTTGTTGCGTGGAGACATTGAGGATCTAATCCTGCTCTGACACTTGCCAGATTAGTAAATTTGGTCAAGGCTTTAACCTCTCTGAATCTCCTCATATGCAAAATGGAAATAGTAATTACCTTTCTTGGTGGGTTGTTGCAAGAAGTAAATAAGATTGGCTATCCCAAAGTCTACTGCCAAAAAGCAAAATTATCAGCAAATTAAGTGGGCTCATGTCAAAAGTCTTGTTTCAATTCATTTATGAGAGAATCAGCAAAGAATATTTTTAAAAGCTGGTTTGAAGAATATTTGATAATTTAGAAACTTAGTCAGGAAAGGAATGCCTAAGTAAGGTTCTTAAGTTAGATAGAAGACTCTTTTAACTTTCTACAGGGCAGCAAAAACCGTAACAGTTAGAGGTTTAACATCTCTACAGGCTGTGGTATCATATCACCCATCAAGCAGATATAAACTGTCTACTTCTTTATCCACTGTGACTTGTTAATCAAATATACTGTGCCGACCATATTCCATTTCCCAAAAGTGCCAGATGATGGAAGATTAGCAAGCAGCAAGGACTTGCTTCTATTCAGACAGAATCTGGCATGAGAACAAACCACCATTTTGTCTTCTTCCAGGTTTGAGACAGTTTTTTTCCTTCCACTCTGACACCCAACAGGAGCCCAACAAGTGTTTGTAGCTTTACCTCCCCTCATCAGCCCATTTAAATTTAGGCTGAATTCCCCAGGTCAAGAGGCCAGAAGACAGGCTGGTATCTGGACCCAACCAGAATAGTTCTGGCTCCCAAGTGGAGGGATGTAGGGGAAGGCATTTCCATTGGCATAAGCTCTTTTGTTCAGCTGCTAGACACCAACTGCCCAATTCCAGATCCTGACCATGCCCTTTATGACTATTGCCACAAACATGAGGAAATTGGCTCAAGTCAGGAGCCTAGGGTGGAGGACACAATCATCCCAGACAGGGTTGAAGGGTCCCTGCTGTATTGATGCAGCGACCAAGTGCCTCGTACACGCAAAGGAACCCGAAGCCAGCCTCCATCTCCCGGGGCAAGGGCACCACCAGCTTCACAGAGCAGGAGAGCTGTGAAGGGATGTGGGCAGCAGGAGAGAAATTGATTTAGTCCTTAAGCAACACACGTCCCCACAGAGTCCAATCACACACAAAACAACAACAATAATAGAAATACTCCCCATTTCCTTACTACAACCCAGCAGCTAAAACAAATGTTCCTAAACTTTTCGAGGTCTTGGACCCTTTTGAGAATCTGATGAAACCATGGAGGGGTATGCTTATACGCATATACTCAAAATGAAGCGTTCAACTTCAATTCCATTTCAGAGACCCACAGAGAAGGCACAATGCACTGGATTAGAATCATCACCAGGAGGGAGGACTCAGGAGTGGGCATGCTTGTTGGCCAAGCCAGGGGTTGCCAGTGGCCCACAAAAGGAGTCCTCACCATGACCTCTTCCTGGTTTTTCCTGCTGGGCACTGCTGCCTAGCAAACGCCTTCCGTCTTCCACTCACCTCTCTAACCTCCGCCCCCCATCAGAAATTTTCATTCTGGACAGTGATTGCCCCATTAGCCTGGTTGGGAAACCAGAGGCGTAGCCACTCTGGAAGGGAGCAGCTGCCTCTGACTGGCCTGAGACACCAGGAAGCTGGCCAAGCCCAGACGCTATAAAAGGGAGCTGACATTTAAACCTGCGCATCCTCTGTCAACTCTGTTTCAGAGAGACCTGGTAAGTGGGATCATCCCCGACTGCCCCACACTTTGGCCTTCCTTTAGGGAGGGCCAAGGAGTGGAACAGCCTCGTATGACAGGGAGAGACAAAGCTGAGGGTAGTCTGGACCAAAATCCAGAGCTCTGAGGAGGACAGTGAGACTGGGGCAAAGAAGGAACCGAGTCCTTTAGCATTTCTGAGTGAGGGCATATTTGTTTCCCAAGCTGAGCCTTTCTTGGGCAGAGGGTGAGGGAGAGTTAGCATGTACTCGTGTGTGTGTGTGTGTGTGTGTGTGTGTGACCCTACACCTTCCCACACTAGTATCCATATCATCCCACCCTTTCCCATCATAGCTGTAGCCATTGCTGGGTTTAGTTATTTGGATAATGCAAGCCAGGGACAAAGCCATGACTTGGAGTAGGAACCTTCTGAGTAACCCCTTAGTCTTCACTCTGCTGTGGGCAGAGGCACCACCACACCCTGGAATCCCCTTTGCTTTCTCTTCCAGCTAGGACAAATCTTTGGGCACCATGCTGACAGACCTGGAGGAGGCCATGGACTCCCTCATTGACGTCTACCACAAGTACTCCCTGAAGAAAGGGAATTACCATTCCGTCTATAAGGACGACTTGAAAAGATTGTTAGAGACAGAGTGTCCTCACTACACAAAGGTGAGGAGCGGCTGCTGTGGTCGGGGTTCTCTGCCTGGCTCTGATGAGGTGCTGGGTCACTTCTCCCCCATGCTGCCCTCTGGAGACACCCAGGTCTCAGATCTCCCTCAGATCTTTACATTCTGGCTTCTTTCTCCTCAACCTTGACAGGAAAAGGATGCAGATACGTGGTTCAATGAGTTGGACGTCAATAGAGATGGTGCCATTAACTTCGAGGAGTTCCTCATCCTGGTGATCAAGGTGGGCCTGGAAGCCCATAGAAAGAGCCACCAGGTGTAGCAGAGTGGTGGCTGCTGGGGCTGGACCCTAGACTTGTCCCTATGGAACAATAAAGTAGTCGATACCTCAAGCCTCTCTTGGTCTCTTGCTTTTCTCTTGTGGACTGAGGTTCCTGGCGTGCAGAGGGAGGATTGGAAACCCCAAAGGAGGAAAAACAGGCCTCTCTTGTCTCCTGCTCCCCATCTCTGGGAACCTTCAGTGCTTCCCACTGTCTGTTTTCTCCCCATGTTTTCCCCAAACTATCCCTGAGTCTCTTCCTGAGTCATTGGTTCCAAGACTTAAGGATTCTAAAAAGTCCAAGACCTTGTAGCTGATGATTTTCCTACTTGTTCCCAAATGGGTGATATGGGAATAGGGTGACGTAAGGAAAACACATAGAGTTCTCTAAACTAAATTTTAATTTCCAGCTAAATGTCGTAGATGTGACTATTGGGAAATTAGGGAGATAACTACATAAAAGTGTGTGTATGTGTGTGTGAGAGAGAGAGAGAGACAGAGTGAGAGAAACAGAGATACAGAGAGACCTAGAGAGACTGATTCTTTGTGTGGTGTGACTGTAGGTGGATGTTGAGAGTCCTACATTAGGTACAGCAATAACCTCCTGGTCCCACACTTGTAATTTCCTTAGAGATTTTGGAAACTCTTTCTCCGCTCACACTTCACAACTTCATTAAATAATAAAGGAATGGGCAGAAAGGCCAATACATTAGTAGAACTCAACTCAAAGAGTAGGGTACTCAATTGCTGCTCTGTGGGGTAAATGCTCTGGTGATCAATGAATTATCTAAAATAACCTTCCTATCATTACTCTGGATTGTCCAAGGGCCTGGGCAAATGATGAGGCCAGCAGGTGGATGCCACCTCTCACCAGAACCCAACCCCCAAGCTGAGTTTCCATTAACAACCTACAAAAACAGAAACTAATTGAAGAAGTAAAGCATTATTTGGGATCTAAGAATTACAATTCGGGGAGCACAGACTCAGGTAGAAAGCCAAATAATGTCCCACTTGGGAGTAAAATTCAGAGGCTGTTAAGACAAAGACAGGAGATTTTATTGCAACGAATTTTAATTTAAGTTGGAGGCAGAGAGCTAGTTTTGGTTAAATATTGATTGACTGTTGATGCTATCTTCAGCAAGTCCACATTCCTCAGTCTTTGTGATCAAAATGTGTGTTCTCCTGCTTGCTTGTAAAACAATTTCCATTTTGGCCAGTGCAAAAGTTTGGCCTAGTCCAAGGTTCAAGACAGCTAAGGAGTTTCTCTGCAAAGGCAATTCCAACTCCATTTTAAAATGGCTCCATTGTCGTCAATTTTGACATTTTCCCCTTTTGAGCAAGATCTTTCTTTGAAAACATCACTGATCAACCAGTTGAAAGCAGTGCTGATCAGCTATCCAGACACTGTTGGTCCCTTGTTGCCAGGAAGGCTCATTCTTGGAATGTCATGTCTCACATAGGAGGAAAAGTAGTTTCCCTAGGAGCCTTCAGCCACACTTGAACAACAAGAGTTCTAGAGCAGAGAAAAGCCTTATCATCAAGCTCCTTTAAGGGCAAATATTGTCTGTGGTTCCTAAGGGTTTCTCAGGTGAAGAAGGTTCAAAAGCCTTAGGAATCATTTCAAAGCACTGAGCGACCATTATCTGAGTGGTGTTTTTATAACATTGAGCTATGCAAAAGAGACAAAGTTTTACAATAACAAAAATTCCTATAAAAATAAACAAAATGTTAAGTCCAAATTGGAGAATAGACCTAACCTAGGAGGTGATTCCTGAAGTCTTCTGAATTCTAGAGGAATCAGGTAGAAAGAAAAAGTAAATGTTTCACCTTTGTTCACAAAGGTATATCTTACCAAATTGTTGATAGCTTAAGAGAAAAGATTTCCTCAAATCTGCAAGAAAAAACATAAAATCATCCTCTTCAGTCCATTTATTCCCATGTAATTAATATTTGTTCTTGATATTTTGTTAGCAGATTTATGAAGCCATCAGTCTCTCTGTTAGAGTTCCATAATTTCTTACCCAGTTCAGATTTATGATCTAAAAGTTTATCAGAAACCTGTATTCTAACGTAAGTGTCAGAGTCCTTTCCATGATTCTCTCTGAAGATAAAACATATTTGCAAAGGCATCAGAGTAAAACAATAACTGTCTGTAAATGGCAGAAGACTTAAAGTGGCATGGTTAAAAATTTGATGACAATGCAATTGACAAGGAAATTTGGTTATTTCTGTGACATACAAAATTTAAGATAATAACTAGAATTGTGACTGATCACATTATAATAGGACATAACAGATTTTTAGGAATTTCACATAGTTTTTAGAACACATAGTAATACCATACATGCATACAAGGACATCCATAAAGGAGGCTTAGCATCACTTATGTGACAATGCTTCCCATGCAATCTCACATCCCAAATAAGCCTAATCAGTTTAATATCTCCCTTTTTATAGGAAGAGAGAACAAATTCTTTGGGAAGTCTCAGGGACCCACTGGAAATGCTCAATTTACTTTCAGGTAAAAAAAAAAAAGATTTTTCTTTTGAACTTGAATTTTGGGAAATTAGTCAAACATATCAAAAGATCTTAAAACAGTTGGTCAAATAGGATCATAGGTCTCTGTGAAAGAATGCTTAGCTACCAGTTTAACCAAAGTGACAAAAAAAGGTGTGAAAGGCAAACACAGAGTTAAGCAGTTTTTAAAAACCTTAGATCTCTTAACAGAGAGACCTCAGCTTTCTGAACATAGTAAATTATTTTGACAAAACATAGAATTTTTGCACTTTAGACAGACTTATGCAAAGATAAAGAAAAAGCTTTTGTAATTTCTTTATCAAGAGTAGACTAAAAGAACAAGAAAACTGTCCTTCAAGAGAAAAATAACAATTTCCAATTATGTACCAGCTTACTTTTGAGATTAAAACTCATTTTTTAATTAAATTCATTTCAATCTTAGCCAACTTGATCACATACAAAACTCTTTTCTCACGGTTCTTCTTCCACGAATCTTCTATAACTTTCTTTTTACATTCAGAATTTGTCCTTTACTCTTTCCCATAAACAGTTTTGCTTTAGGACAAATTTACTTTCTTAAAAAAAGAAAATCTCCATTCTTTATACCTTCTTTAGTGAAAACATACATTTTCTCATAGCATTAATTTTTTTAATGTGGCACAAGACATGTTTACTAATAGACCCAAGCATCCTTTGTTTTTCTGTTAGAAGAAGCCAAATGTAGATAAACCTATGTTTAGTAATTAATGTTTAAATTTTTATCTTATTTGGAAATGATCTAGATAGTCTAATAAATTGTTCTCATTTTACTTAATTTAACAAACCTCTAAGATTTCGAGTTACCAAAAGGTTTTGAGGTTATTTTTAAACACATACACCATAACACACAATTATTGTTTAAAAGTTCGCCAAAAACTTATTGTCTTACTGTCATCTATTTAGTTTACTTGTTCTTAATAATAATGTTTAGATTGCCTACAGCAACTTTATAAAGCATTAGACAAAATCCGCTATCATTCTAAGTTATTATTTTTATAGCTTACTAATTTTGTAACAGGGATAACATGAGTTTATATGACTAATAAACCCAGGTAGAATAAAGGCTGCATGTCTGCATCATATCCAGTGCTGATAACTCTGAAGACATGCCTATTTCAATCAAACCAACAAATTTAAATAAGCTTTTACTTACTGAGGATTATTCTATTTCACATTAACTTGAAAAACATTTGGGTTAGGTTCTGCCATATTTCTTTTTGAGAGTACTTTCAATTTATACGGCACTTTGTTTTTAAGCCAATTAAATAGAACACTCTCATAAACTAGTCTTGATAATACTATCCAGAGGTAGAAAATGACACATATTTATCACTTGTGTATATAGATGCACATAAACACAGAGACAGATGCAAACAGACATCTTATAGCCTCCGTATTTTAACGTTTTCTTAGATTTTGGGGGCTAGAGCACTTCTATAGCAGTCTGCATCTCCAAAAGCTTCTTTCCTCCTTTTTTTTCCTACCATACTTAGGAATCGGGAATGGTCTAGGTAAGAGTTCCCACAGAGGTTACAAGCTTTTTGAGATAAACAGGAGAGATTGGTTGCTTACCAAAGGCCTGACATACCTATACAATTACATTATCCTTAATTTGTTTCTTTCCCTCTGGGTACATAGTTTTATTTTAGCTGAGGGAGGAAAGCCAGAAAAATAACTCCTAGGAGGCTCTGAATTTCAGCTTCCAATTTGGCCAAATTTCTGATCATACATTACTCAATCCTTTCAAATATCCTGTCAGGTTTCAGCTGGGAGAAACAGTAAATATTTCTGGCAGTATTAAACAACTCCGTTAATTTTTAATATAATTTTCTCCTTATTTGTTTACAATAATACCATAGTACTTTACCAGAAAATCTCTCAGAGTCTCTTTATTCTGGGAGGAGCCCATAAGGGGCCCTCCTTTAAAGCTAGATATGGGGCTGTCTGTAAAGGCATTAACTTAATGTACTTTTATATAGTCTTTTCTTTTAGGTACCTCTTATATTTTATTAGCATTAAGTACCTCTTGAATTTTATTAGCATTTTGCAATGAAATTTTCAATAAGGCTATTTTGGAATTTTGCAGACATTGATTTTCACTGAACTTCTTAAATGTTTTTTTTAATTGGAACATTCTTTCTAATGGTCAGTATAATTGGCAGCAGTTTGTTAGGATCCTAGCTACAAATGGAGATTAACCCCCATTTATGCCCAGCCACATCTGGCCACAAATGGGGTGCAACCTACATTTCTGTCCTACCACATTTTGGGTCCACCAACATGACGGTTGCCAAGCCAAGGTCTAAAGACATGAAAAAAAGCCTAGTAAGATTTTGCTGTTCTTTGTAAATATTTACAGCATCCAAGACCATAGTTTTTGAGTAGGTGTGCGGGAACGTGGCCCGCTTCATTCTTTAGAAATTAAAGATCTTATTTCTGGTCTTAAA